TATTATTTTGCTAAATTCACCCCAGTTTTTGAAGGAATTAAATTCTATCCTCATGATGAACAAGGGTTGGAATTTGGAAGGAAACCCACGGTGTTGTGGACCATGTTAATTTACTATGTAGGTACTACTCTTCTTTTGCGCTGGGGACACCCATGTGAGATAGGAACCTATCCAAAGTACCAGTACGAGAGCTTAATTGTGTTGTTATATAGACACCTCAAGTTCTGGCCTTAGTTAACTCCAAAGAAACCTAGAGTTTTCATGTCTATTCTTGCCTAGAGGGTTGCTTTCCATATCGCTCACGAACACACACACGTATATAAGTGATTATCAGTCATAAACACATACGAACTGAGTGATTGTCAATCATTCACACATGCGAACTTACAGTAGAGGTTACGTACATCAATAATTGTGAATCGTTTGCGTGTATGTAAAGCAAATTGAGTTAGTCTCAACCTAATTGCACAAAAATAAAAGCATAGTGCTTTGTGAAACATATATATATATATATATTTTTATGATGATTTAATCTACTGCTATTTTCTACCAGACAAAGGTCATGAAATACATTAACTATTCCTCCGAATGTCCAACTTTCCTGCCTCTCTAAGAGAATCAATTGAAGCAAAAGAGGCCGTTAAAAGTGAGATAAGACAACTATTAGATAAGGAGAAGGCTTTTGCTACAAGAATGTGTCAACATTGCATTTGGTATTTGGAACGAGATAGATAAGAATTAAGAATTACTACTATATATGCTAAAATTATGCTGATGTCCTTTATTCATGTGCGCATAATTAACTAACTGTGAGTCATCAGTCTACGTAAATTCTACGATACATCAACGTACGGCTCACAATCACTCACGTTATGCGCGACGTGATTGGTGTTAGGGTATTTGGAGAGAGAAAGCAACACATCCAAATATGGTCTCATGGGTTCACACGCTCATCCTAAGCCTCTATATATCTCAAGGAGAATCCAAAATAACTGTGCATATGATGCGGTCCCCTGGAGACCAGATGGTTGGCAGCTCATGTGCATGTTTTGGAGGATGGAGCCTCTTCCGGAATGTGGGCCAATTTTTTTTAGTGTCATGCATCCAATTGAGAGATCTCTTTCTTTTTACTCAAATTTAAATATTAATTTCATGCTCTTTTGTTGTTGTGAGTGTGAGGCTCCAAAAGACCAAGGCCTCTCTTCTTCATTAAAAATGAAAAATTCTAGGGTTTATATTTTGATTACATTAAAAGAGAAGTGATCACTGTTTCTGCACATGGGTAGGGTTATGGTCAACATGAGTAATGCAGCAGCATGGGTACGTACTTGGTCAATATTGCTTTAGTTGACTTGTTTCGGACAAATCCTTCATGCATTTATCAACAACCGTTTAGTGTTTGTGTTTGTGTTCGGCTTTAGCCCTCCTCGTTAGTCAGATGGTGTTTACAAAATATTTATGAAAGACGTATATCAACGATTAACAATCACTCACGCATTAATATTAGACTCGACTTTTATCTAACTATGGATTGTTTTTCCAATATGCATTTTATACATATGTCGTTTTGTAGGAAAAAGATTCATTCATGCACCAAAAAGTGGACATATTTGTTTGCTCCAAAACGTCATTGATCTCGTCAGAGATTTAGCTTTTAAAATCTTACAATATTATTGTTGGGGGAAAAAAAACCAAGAATTAATTTCATAATCATATATTAATTCAGGCTTTTGATTGATTTGGTGAAGTCCATTAAATCATGATTGAATTGTGGCTATGAAAATTGAATGGCTGGACCCCCGGGATGTCGGATATTTTTTTCAAGGAGCAAAAAGTTTTTGTCGATTTGGCAATTGCAAGTCACAGGCGCACATCAGAACCTTTAGCACCTCCCTCTTGCTTCCACGTTGACCGGCCGTTACGGATAACGACGTAACGCCTCTAACTCTTATCATTTATGTTTCCTTTTTCTTTTCTTTTTTCGAAAAAAGCACTTTCAAGTATTCCAACCTCTCTTTTTTATTATTTTTTTAAAAGATCCTGTAGGTTTTATGTGTCCATCTTTACATGCTTTACATGCTAGGTATATAAAAAAAAAGAAATTATGAAATAATTATAGCACTTCAATTTATCCAACCAGATGGTAAATTGTCAAGAATTTGTAGCTTAAGTGGTTAAGAGCAATTATCCCTATACCAAATTATACTCATAAGTCTATTCTCGTCAAACAAAAAAGGGGCTTTAGGGTGAATCTTTTTATTTTTTATTTTTAAGAATTTCATTTATCCCCCATGCTTGCCATACGACCTTTTATATATGTATGTTGGTGTAAACTACAACTTTTGGGCTAAAGATTTTTTTTTTTTTTTTTGAAGCATTGGGCTATAGTATTTTTGTATCGAACTATGTTTTGTGGGAGGCCAAGGCCCATGAGCACTGATTATTATAACATAGTGATTTTATAGTGAGTGACTCATTTAAGGCCCTATTTCTTAACTGTTGGATCAAACTAACTAATTTGATCCCACGATTAAAAGATATGACCTCATCAAAGAGCCTTAAATAAGGCCCTCACTATAGAATTTTACAATATACCAACGGCCTTCTTATAGCCAGTTTTATACAGACCTAACCCAACCCTAAACCCACTATAAAACACACTCATGTGAGAATGGGAGCGTTCTTGCAATCATTGCATAGAAGAACAACTCGATTTTGAGATTCTTGCAATCTCTCTATGCGAAAATATTTTGGGATTATGAAGTTGTTTTTGTTTTTGTATTGAAAAAAAAAAAAACAGAACACTAACGAAAGAAAAATTAAGGCCTTAACTTCGGACCCAACGGAGAACCCGCCCTAGATTTGCCCTATTGTGGGGCTGACGGGTAACCGGGCCCATGAACAGTCGGGTGCTTGATGGGCTGGCTGAATAGGGGGTTTGTTTGGTGTCATTTATCTATGAAAACATGAGTTTTTCAAAAAAAAATTTTCCTTAATGAGAATGAAAACTTGCCTAATGAATCAATCGATCTGTTACAAACATGAAACTGAAAATTTTCATGGCACGCAATTTATCTCATAATATCCAAAATTCTTATTTGATGAAGAATATATAGTGTTCAGAAAGAGAATGTTGGAGTTGTACTAAGAGAAAAAAATGAAAAGTGTGAAAGAGATGAGAGACAACGACAGGAGATACCCATTCCATTGAGATCACCCTCAGTTTGATGGATTCAATAATTTTTCATCTTTAAATATTTTTTAAGGTTTTTTTTAATCAACGGACAACGGACGAGGATTCAAACAAAGCTTAGAGTAATCGTATAACACCTTTTTTTAAAATCTATTTTTCTGATCATGTGACTTGTTACATAATGAGAAAGATAAAACGAATGTACATACACATTTGTTTCATGTAAGTATTGTAATACTGGAAGATATATTTTCGACATTCAAGTTAGCCTAAAGAAGAAAAAAAACAAAACAAAACAAAACAAAATAAAACTAATGCATGATAACATTTACAAATACATAGAAAATATATATTTCATTATCTTCTTCCATCCATAAAAAGTAGAGATTCGGTGTCATCAGCACTTGAGTGGCTTCTTTTATCTTTCTTGTTGTGAAAGTTATTGACTTCAGGCTTTGCTTGCTTTAGGTGCATTCAAAGCTAAACAATATGTCGGTAAGGTCTCTGTACTGTGTGTAGCCTCATCAGTGTTCGAGTCCCACTGTCATCAATATTCATTAGTATATGATATGTAATTTTTAACATAAATCTACATCGATGGCAGCTGGTAGTTGGGTGTCACGCGTCAGTCATTTTGGCTCAAAAATACGGGTCTGTCATGATGCTGGTGGTGAGAGTAACCAATCTCCTCCTACACTTCTTTTCATCAAAAAGAAAAAAAGATCTCAACAACCTGTCAACAAGTCTCTATCTTTTCACATGATGTATCAAAAACATTCCAAGACCAAAAAAAAGTCCATATAAGCTTATACAAAACCCAAGCATCTGTGATATTTCAGTATTTGAGAAATAAAAAATAAAAAAGAGCTTTATTTATTTATTTTTCTTTTCTTTTCTTTTTTAAAAAAAAGCAATAAGAAGAGCAGCTCACAATTTCATTGAAAATATAGTAATATGAAGTGCAAAGACAGCCTAATTGTTCCTTACAAAGAGGTATGACATGTGCATATATTAAGAGAGAGAGTCAGACTCAGACAGACATGAGTTGAAGAATTTAGGTTTAGCAAAGGAATAATTGCTTCTTTTTGCTTTGCTTTTCCATAATTTAATAATAATACACACATAGATAAAATAATAATAGTAATATTATTATACCATAACCCAGCCACTTCCAGCAAAGCTTGTGTTCTCTTTGTTGGTGGTGTCTTTTGCATCTTATTCACAGTAAAAATGTTTAGTCTCCGAGTATTAAACTGACTAGCTCGCAATTGGTTTAGTTGTATTTCTTGTTCATAATATTGGAAGACGTTCTAAATTTGATTTCCTCCTCTTTGAAACATAAAACAGCAAGAAAAAATATTAGAGTGCTCCATACAAACTGACTCCCAATCCACATATGTATGAATGATGGGACGTTCTAAGTTTGAAACCTTATAGATGCAAGACTTTCAACTTCACCAAAGGGATTGAATTTTCCAATTCTTCCTTATTACTTTGTACTAACGGTCAAAGAGGTTCGATATAAAAAAGCGGCCAAAGGGGTCTAGCTCAATGAAAAAGGATCTTGACTTGTAAATTACTGGTTTCAAGTCCAAACTCTCATAATACATTGACAATGTGTATGAGAAAAAACACCATTTTCCAATATCGCTTGTATGAAAAATGAAAAAAACAATGAGAAATGATATTTTCAAGAGTGTAAGAAAAGTAACAGTAAGAAAAGTAGTTGAATTTAAAAGATAAAACGCTACAGTAACAGTAAGAAAAGTTGTTTAATTGCTTAACCCATAGAATTAAAAATAAAACATTAGAAGATTCTGTAAATTAATGGTTGGTCTTTGATGACGGTTACCAAATTGATGAAGATCGTGAAGAACAAGGAGAGTTGAGTTTAAAAGTGAAAGACACAAATTTCCTGCTGTCTTCGTTTCCTCTAACATAAGTCAAAGAAAAGAAAAGAGAGACAGCGTTGCTTCCTATTTGCATGCCTTTGCTATGTGCTGACGTACGCCTTCCTCTGCGCACCATAGCCTGCTTCAGTTTCATCACTTGGAGCAATTCAAAACTTCTCTGAAAACTGAAAACCCAATTGCCAGAACCTTCTCATCATACCAAAGGTGAGGCCTTTCTTCTCTCTAACTTCTCCTCTGTATCTGTTTGTTTTGCATAAAACCCCTCAATTTTGCTGTTTTACAGTTTATTTTTTCTTTTAGATGCACTTTTTCTAATTGGGCCTTCTTTTGCTTTTGATTTAGTGTCTATGTTTGTTGTTGAACAAGAGGGAACACTGAAGAAATTAAGATTTTGAGTTTTGTGTTATGTTGTAAAGCTGAATCTATCCACGACACAAGAGTTTTAAGAAGAATGTTAACTGAGAATTTTGAAATTTTAAGTTAATCTGTTAAGTGAAATGATTGATGAATGATTTGACTTTTGATGCAGATTTCCGTTTTGTTCTTTTTCGGGTACTATCTTGTCGTTGTTTGACATGTAGAGTAGGAAGAAAGTGGGGAAAGTTCAGTGCTTTACAAGGGGATTTGGACCTAAGTTCTCTGTTTTGCGTAGGATTGATTGGCCTTGTCTCAAATTATGCCAAACTAAATAATAATCCACAAAGCATTGATTTTTTTCAGAAAAATTTATCATGCACTGTTTATCTTTGCAAAATTGCTTACAGTGATTTTGAAGTGTTCCTTCAGGAGAAGAGATCATGAGCTGCTTCAGTTGTTGTGTACAAGATGATATCCGCAAAGTTTCCGAGAATGGACCGTTTGTAGCAAATAACTCAGCAGGTAAATCTGTATATCCGAGGCTTTTTTCTTTTTTGAGGGGGGGGGGGGGGGGGGGGGGGGGAACTCTGGGGTTGTGAGGGCACTTTTTCACATTCAATTTGCTTGAGAAACATGTCTTTTTATGAGTGCATTTTGATATAACAGAATTCCATGACTTTTCACTTGATATTAGCTAGAGCAACTTGTATGCATTTTCTTTTGGATATCCATCTTTTATGGTGTTTATTTGATTGATCTAAAGCTAGACATTTTAATTGTAGGCAGTAGTGGAGGTTACTATCACAGAGAAACTGCACCAAAGGATACTCAGACTGTAAATATACTACCCATTGCTGTCCCTGCCATTCCAGTCGATGAATTAAAAGATTTGACAGATAATTTTGGCACAAAGTCCTTAATTGGTGAGGGTTCATATGGAAGAGTATATCATGGTGTTCTGAAAAGTGGGCCAGCTGCAGCTATTAAAAAGTTAGATTCCAGTAAACAACCTGACCAAGAATTTTTATCACAGGTTAGGTCTACAGGAATGTTTTTTATTTGGTATTTGACATGGTATGCAATTTTGTGCTCAAATATGTTTGGATCATAACTTTACAGGTCTCCATGGTTTCAAGACTAAAACATGAAAATGTTGTTGAGCTTGTTGGTTATTGTATTGATGGCCCTCTCCGTCTCCTTGCCTATGAGTATGCTCCTAATGGGTCACTTCATGATATTCTCCATGGTAAGTACATTTCTATGCTTTTCTAACTTCATATTTCTTCACCACTGTTGCCTATCATTTGATGTTATTTATACCCTCCGTAAATTATAAATTCTGAAGGACCATATAAATATTTTATTCTTGTTTGAGCATGCTGAGATTTTATATGTTCACAAATTTCTATTGGCTTAATAACTTATATTTAGAAGGTCCATATCATGTATGCCTAGTGTTTTAAGCTATTTCATAAGAGGATTAAATTCTTTTGGTTACACGAGGATTGAATTTTAGTACAAATACTTAACATCTTATCTTCCTAACTGTTTCATATCTTCTGCTCTAGGAGTGGGTTAGCCTCCAAACATTAGAAAATAGCTCTTCAACTGCAACTTTTTGGGTTATGTACCTTTTTTTTTTTTGGTTACATTGGGAGGAAAGATTTTTGGTTACATTGGGAGGAAAGATTTTTGGTTACATTGGGAGGAAAGAAACCCCTTGGGGTTTCGAACCTGGGTGTCAAGCAGGGGGAAAGGGGGAGGCCACCGCTGTGGTACCTGCTCTCGACGGTTATGTCCCTTTTGATATTAGTAAGATAGCCTTTATCTCCTTGCTAATATATATTTTTTCCTTGATATGTGGTTATAGGACAGAAAGGTGTTAAGGGAGCACAGCCAGGTCCAGTTCTGTCATGGGTGCAAAGGGTTAAAATTGCTGTTGGAGCAGCAAGAGGACTTGAATATTTACATGAAAAGGCTCAGCCTCATATAATCCATCGTGATATTAAGTCCTGCAATATACTGCTTTTTGATGATGATGTTGCAAAGATTGCGGACTTTGATCTGTCAAATCAAGCCCCTGATATGGCTGCACGTCTTCATTCCATTCGTGTTCTTGGGACTTTTGGTTATCATGCTCCAGAGTAAGTTATTGCTTGATGTACTCTATAAATCACATTATGATGCATGCTCAAAATTTTGATTTGGCATATGTCGTCTCCTTTTTAATTGCCATCGTGACGTAGACACCTTAAAACGCACAGCCACTGGGCCTAATTCTTATATATGATTCTGAATGGCAGATATGCAATGACCGGACAGCTGAGTTCAAAAAGTGATGTTTACAGCTTTGGTGTAGTTCTGCTTGAACTCTTGACTGGGCGCAAACCTGTTGATCACACATTGCCACGTGGACAGCAGAGCCTTGTGACATGGGTACTAATTTCACCCTAGTTCTTGTTTACTAGTAACTCATACAACTCGCATCCTTATTTTATTCATTTGGGAAGGGGAATTTTATTTGTTATAGATTTGCATCTTTCATTTCAGCTGTTTTGGTTTTGTTTTTTTTTTTGGGAATTTATTCTATTAGGCACCACCGAAACTCAGTGAAGATAAGGTGAAGCAGTGTGTGGATGCTAGACTCAATGGAGAATACCCTTCCAAGGCAGTTGCAAAGGTAATGGGAAACGGATTGAGTAATTATTTACCATGAGTTGATTACTTAATTCCCAGAAATACTTGCTTTTGGTATTTTTCCTCAATATATGTGCAAACATATAGTTTTGTTATGTTTAAGTTGTAAATTGGAGTGACAAAAACACAACGTACTTTGTTCTGGCCAGTTATCGACTAATTGAAATGGTGGGTAGGTCACTCTCTTAGGAATGAGGGATCTTTAATCTGATGGCTATTTGTCATTGATGATGTACTTCACATCCACTGATCACCATTGTTTGTGCTTGAAACAGCTGGCTGCTGTTGCCGCCTTGTGCGTCCAATATGAAGCTGATTTTCGGCCAAATATGAGCATTGTCGTCAAGGCTCTACAGCCGCTATTGAATGCTCGGTCCGGCCCTCACCATTGAAACAAAAAACGCCTGGATTCGCGACCTGTCAATCTCTCTTGCAGACAATATTGTTGAAGATTCATTTGGTAAACATAGTTGTGTAGATCATGTAACATCCTCTGGTTCCCTTGAGTCATCAAAATCTTACTGATCCTATATAATTCACATTGATTCTGCTACCGGTTTAAAAGTTGCTTATTGGAGCTTGGGTTATTTGACCATTCTACATTAACCTCCTTTTCTCGGGTCTAATTAGTCTCCTGGAAAACAAGAAGTTTCCAACATTAGAAAAATTTAATCTTTTGTGAGCAGGTGGCTGAACTTTGAATTGTCATATTTGGACTTGAGCAGAAGACTAGGAAAAGAAAAAAGCAACCCCATTTCCAGGTCAACGTCAATATGAATGGTTTTTCTTACCCTCCTTTCTCATTTTTGATTGCTTGTATTAAACATAAAAACAGATAGGTCACAATGAGTCAGTCAATATATGCCTTTCATGTGGGCTTTCTACGAACTTACCAACTTTATTATTATTATTATTATTTGAATACAAGCGATAGTCTAAACTACAGGGGATGAGATTTTTTACACACACACTTATGATGCTGTGGGGGTTCGAACTTGAGAACTCTTATCTACAAGTCAAGACCCTTTTCAACTGGACCCGTTGGCAATTGAAAGACCAAGAATCAAATACCATAGAACTTGATATTTGTGTTCATTCTAAATTTGATTTCCTCCTCTTTGAAACATAAAACAGCAAGAAAAAATATTAGAGTGCTCCATACAAACTAATCTCCCAATCCACATATGTATGAATGATGGGACGTTCTAAGTTTGAATCCTTATAGATGCAAGACTTTCAAAATCACTGAAGGGATTGAATTTTCCAATTCTTCCTTATTACTTTGTACTAACGGTCAAAGGAGTTCAATATAAAAAAATGGCCAAAGGGGTCTAGCTCAATGAAAAAGGATATTGACTTGCAGATTACTGGTTTCAGGTTCGAACCATCATAACACATTGACAATGTGTATGAGAAAAAACACAATTTTCCAATATCGCTTGTATAAAAAATGAAAAAAACAATGAGAAATGATATGTTCAAGAGTGTAAGAAAAGTAGTTGAATTTAAAAGATAAAACGCTACAGTAACAGTAAGAAAAGTTGTTTAATTGCTTAACCCAATAAAACATTAGAAGATTCTGTAAATTAATGGTTGGTCTTTGACGGTTACCAAATTGATGAAGACGTGAAGAACAAGGAGAGTTGAGTTTAATGGCATGTTTACTAATCAGGAATTGGAATTCTCATCAGGAATTGAATTCCGCCTATAGAGAATTCCTGCGTTTACTTCACATAAGGAATTGAAAAAGTAAGCGGGGCCCACACAAAATTAGGAATTTAATTCCTGATTTTGGAGGAATTCAATTACTAAATGGGAGGTGGTATTCTAATTCCTGGAGAATTCCCCCATTAGGAATTCATCTTTTTTACCCATTATATCCTCACACAATTTTCAAAATTCCAAATACGCCATCTACTTTAACCAAAAAATGAGGACATTTTAGTAATTAGTACCACTTATACCTCAATTCCTTGTGGTTTAGTAAACAACTTCAATAGGAATTCGGAATCTAACTCCCCTCAATCCATATGGTTTAGTAAACAACTTCATTAGGAATCCGGAATCTAATTCTCCTCAATCCACAACTCCTCCTCAATTCAATTTGTTTGTATAATATCTGGCCAAGCACTCCCAAGCCAAAGGGAAGGGAGTCCCACATCGACAAAACACAAGAGGAGGGGACTCTCCCTTCTTTATAAAAGGAGACCTCTCCCCTTCAAGAAAGGGGGGAGAGAGTTGGAGCAGGCTACTGGGGCCCCATGGGTTTACCCATGAGCCCATTTACAAGCCCACGGATCATCGGCCATCAGCCAGATCCTCAGCCTTCGGCCTTCAGCATCTGCCTTCAACCTTCGGTATTCTTCCTCTTCCCTTTGGGTCTAACCCTATGTACAATGTATACACACATTATCATAATGAAAACATACTTCTCCGTGGACGTAGCCCATCATTCG